TGTATCTGTGTCTTCTCCCTGTAAGGACACTAGTCATACTGGATTAGGATGCACCCTCATGATCTCATCCTGACTTGATCGGTTGAATTGTGTCTCCCCCAAAAGATACATTGACATTCTAATCCCCATTACCTGTGAGCGTGACCTTATCTGGAAATAGAGCTGGTGTGGTCAAGTCAAAATGATCTGCAAAGACTCTATTTCCAGATAGAGTCACGTTCACAGGTACCGAGGGAGGGGAGGTGTATTGAGTTTGCTCAGCAATGGATCTTCACCTGGTGGAATGCTGGGCACAGATAGTCACTCAGCAAACGTTCTGGGAGCTGAGACTCCTGGGCCCTGAGAGGGCTGGGACGCGGGCCTCAGGAAACAGGCCCTGGCTCTCACTCCCCTTCTCCTCCTCTGTCTGCCCCCGCCAGGCCCCGCTCTGGGCCCCGCGGCCATCGCTGGCATCGTCCTGGGCTCCCTTCTGGGCCTGGCGCTCCTGGCAGCGCTCGCCCTGCTGTGCATCTGCTGCCTGCGCCGCATCCGGGGTGAGTGAGGGGCCAACGGGGAGGTTCCCTAGGTAAACCCCACTGGAGGACTGGCTGCACCAATCAGCGTGCTTACAGGCCACAGGTCCACCTTTCGGCCTCCATATCAGCCAATCAGATTAAAGGCTCCACCTTTCAGCCCAGCTTCCTTTGCCATTGGCTGGGTGGTCATGTTGGAGCAGCCAATGACGTGTTTCTCTGGATTTTTTTCTTCCTCTCTCTTTTCCAGGAGGGGCTCCCAAGAAAAAGACGCATCTGCCCACCTTTATGCCTGTGGTCCCCCCACTGGAGAGGAAAATGCAGAGCGTGGCCCCCGTGAAGACTCCACAGCCTGTGCCCCTCAAAGCCCCGCCGGAGGATCCTAGCCCAGCCCGGGCCTGCCAGGTGAGCGCGGGTGCCCATGAGCTCCCGAGACAGGGCAGAATTTCGTGTTTAGTCGGGAAGATGAGATGGCCTGAGTTGTCTTCCTCCAGCTTTCCTTGTTGGTTTACAATCCTGCTAAAATTTTATGCTTTTAAAATATATATAAAAGCTGGACAGGGCTTCCCATCCAATGTTTATGTATTTTAAAAGAAGAGTGATATTCCAATCCCCCCCCACCCCAAAAGGTAAGATGGGACCTTCTTTATTTATTCGTTTTTCCATAGAAATGGGCAAAACTTCCATTTTTCTCTCTGAGGTGGGGTGGAATTTATTTTTCCTGGTAAAGTTGCATGTCTCATCTCTCCCAAGGTTGGCTAGACTTTTTTTTATTCCTTGTAAATGGAGGAAACCCAGCTAATTTCTGAATAATGGGAACTAATGCTAGAAAAGGGTGAGTCATGTGACATCCAGGGTAAGCCCTGAGGTTGTTCCCAACCCCTCCTCCTTCTCTGTCTTCCAGGTCACCAGCCCCAGTCCAGTCATCTCTCCAGGTGGGGGCCCGAAGACTGTTCGGGCAGCCACACAGGTGTGACCAGGACTATAAGGGCCTGCTCTGGGCAGGGCTTCCTGTCTCACCTCAGCAGGACGCAGAGCCTTCCTGTCCTACTGTGACCCAAGCTTGGACCCTGAAAGTGGGACTTCTGTCTCCCTCTCTCACCTCAGAAGACTCTACCTGTATTTGTGCAACTAAGGAGGTGGGACTCCTGAGCTGGAGACTGCTGCTGACCTAACAGTGTGGTTTGCAAACCACCAAGCAGGCAAGATGTACAGGCTCTGCAGCAAACAGGCAGGCTTGGTGTACAGCTCTGAGCCAGAGAGGGGGGCCCACCTCATCTCTGAAAATATCTTCCGACATCCACTTCTGCCTCCTCCAGGCCATGCCCATCCCGCTTCCAGAGTCTTCATTTTAAAACAGATCATATCACACGTTCTCTCTTCTTTAAACCCGTCTCTGGCTGCCCATTGCCCTTCAGATGTGGTCCAAGCTCATCATGACCTTCAAAGCCTCGTGGTTTGACCTCCTTTGGCCTCTCTGACCTCCCTTCCAGTACTTCCCCTGCCACTCCAGTAGCACAGGCTTTCTCTCTGGCATGTTATTTTCCCCCCAGGCCTTTGCCCCTAGAGTTTACTCTGTCTGGAGCACAGCTCTTTCTCCTGTGTAAAGGTGACCACTGCCATCTTAGAAGATGCTCCTCTAACCCCTGCCTCAGTCATGGGTTAGGTCCTAGAGACACTGCATCTTACGCCTCTCATCCATAAATACATAACTACTTCTTTAACCTCTGACTTTCTCTCTAAACTGAGAACTTCATGGAAGCACAGACCATGTTGCTATCCCCAGAAGTTAACACACAGCCTGGCACACAGTGTGCAATCAGTAAATATAAGCTAACTGATCAAATGTCTTGGTACCAGGCAAGGGCTGGGTTTGCTACTGCTCTCCCCAGCAGGATGCCTTCCTTTTCCAGCAGGGGTTCTCACTGGAAATTTAGGGTATGCACCAATGAAGGGGTTTTTTTTTTGGCTGCAATTAACAAAATAAATGATGGAAAGAAACATGGAAGTCGGTGATTTCAGGCTGGTGCAGCAACTTAGTGACCCCATCAAGGACCTGGGCTTATTGCATCCTTCTACTCTGCCATCCTCAGTGGGTTGGCATGTTGTCTCATGTAGCAAGATGGCTGCTGCAGCTCCAGGCATCACATCTTCACACAACTGTGGTTTAAAGACAAAAAGAAGGGAGCTGGGTTCTCTTCTCATAAACCTCTCCTCCACCAATCTCATGAGTGGGGGGAAAAGCTTTCCTGGAAGCCTACCAGAAAACCTCTCTTGTGTCATTGACCCAAAACTGGTCATATCACTCACTGCAGGGGAGCCTGGGGGACCAGGCAGCTCAGCCTGTATCATCGGAGGTGGGTCTGACAGCAAAGAAAAAGGAAACAAGTAACTAAAGGCAGCCAGCATGTCTCGGGGAAGGAAAGGATGTGAAGGGTTCTGGTTAAAGACTGAGGTGAAAGAGGCCTTTGGGAAATAGAACTCTTGGATCATTTTGAAGAGTTGAGGGCTGGAGTCCTGGGTACCTGGACTCTCCATATCTCTTTTATATTAGTTAGAGTTGTCGTTTCCTTGATCACCGGAGACAGAAAAACTTAACAGAAATTGGCTTAAATATACAGGAGACTTTGCTTGTGTAAGTGAAGGTAGGCCTCAGGTAAGTTTTGATCCAGCAGTTCAAATGATATCATCAGGTCTGTATACAGACCTTCCACTCTGCATTCCGTAGTGTTTCTATCATTCTCAGGCTCCACAGTCTGTCTTGCCCACCATTGCTGTCCCCACGTGCCCAAGATCTCTCCACGTGATGGAGAAAAGCAACTGCACAGCTCTAGACCTCACATCATTGAGTCACCTTATCCAGTGGAGGACCATCTCTTCTTGTGAATCCATTTGGCCTTGCTATTAACTCTCTCATTAGCTTTGAGCCAGTCACAGTGGGTAATGGGCTTAAGCCCATTAGGGGCCACCTCTGTACCAGGCCAATTCCAAATCTGCCAAAGAGAAAGGAGACATGAGAATGACGCTGGGGAGGCACCACCAATGACCGTGACCCTTTGACCTCCATGCACCCAAATCCTTAATGACATCGACACCTGCAGGCAGAGACTTTGGAAAAAGGCGTTTATTGGTGTGGTGGTCTCAACACTCCCCATGAATCGGAACACACGGCCCCCAG